TACGTCATATAAAGAGGTGTTCATATCAAAATATACCTACCTAAAACAATTGAGAACATAGCAAACTGAAGTCTGAAATGAATTTGAAAAAAAAGTATGTTGGTACATTTTTCTACTGGTGAAAGCAACTACATTACTACTCACACTGAAAAGTAGCAATAAATCATTCAACTTTCTTTTGTAACTTGTAACGTTCAACTTTTAATTTAAGAGCATGGGTCGAGAAAAACCTAATCATCGTTTTACTTTCACAGGTGAAAGATAAAAATTAAGGATATTAGTGAGATATTTTTTACAGGTACGAGGAGCTATGAAAAGTCAAACCGTCCTTCCGATGCCCCAAGGAATATCAATGATCTTCCATGCCGTTCAACAATTTGGTGATTCAGACGGAGAAATGATCGATTATCAATTGAAATCCTCACTCGAGAATGCAGTTATGAAGTGGTCAACACTTTGTGGAGATGTCTTGAAACAATCTTCCACGATATCGTTCGCTAATGGTGCCAACCCTACCCCCAGAAATGAAATCGATTTTTGGACGGCTAGAATGAAAAATCTGGAATCGATATATGATCAACTTCGAGATCCACGCGTCAAGAAAATGGGTCAATTCTTGGAACTGACAAACAGCAGCTGTACAACGTCATTCAGTAATTTATTTAGAAACGTTGTTGCAGCTTTGGTTGAAGCAAGAGATATATGCATGTATCTGAAGCCTCTTTTACCGCACCTGAGCCGTTTTGATGATAATGAATTTCTAGAGTGTGGGGACTATCTCAAGCCTCTCATGCATTGCATAGGTTTGATTTGGGCTAACTCTAGGTATTATTCAACCAATGATAACATCATCACTATGCTGAGAATGATTGCTAATATGCTGATTGAATCAGCGGAGAAAGGATTGGATCCAAGCAACATTTTTCAAGGTGACGCAGAGGAAATCCATGGAAAATTACACCGCAGCATTGAGTTGTTGGAAAAATTCCAGGAAGCCTTCGAACAAGTCAGGAAAAATCTATTGTCTTACTACAAGACTCCTGAAGACGGCACTTCTGCAGATGATGTTATTGTTCCAAAGCCTTGGTCCTTCCATAGAAGAAATGTTTTTCAGAGAATGATCGACTTCATTGAAAGGCTTAGAGTTGTCGAAGGAATTTTGGGAGCCCAGTTAGAATTCAGCAAATTGGAGAAGGTTGAAATAGGAGGAATAACGGGTAGGTTACTATCCCAGAAGTGCGAAGAGATTTTTGATGAATTCAATAAATTTTACAATGTATTCAATAATATCCAGTACGAGGTTTTGGACCTGAAAGATGACAGTATTGTTAAGGACTCAAGAAATTTCAACGAAAAATGTGCCGATTTGGATAGAAGATTGGCTGCTATATTTTCTCAAGCATTTGATGACTGTTTCAATCTCAGTAGCATTTTCAAATTTTTGAACGTAGTGGGAAATTTATTAATAAGGCCAGTTATAAGTGATGAGTTGACTGTCAAATTTCCAGCAATAATTGATATGTTTAATTTGGAGCTCGACACTGTGAAAATTCTTTTTGATGAGGGAAAGAAAAATGGAGTACCTTTGAACAAAAATTTTCCCAAAGTAGCTGGAGCACTTCTCTGGCTTGATAAACTCAGACAGAGAATTCGGCAACCGTGTGAGGACTTTAAACTACTGGAACATGATATTGTTAGCTCAGAAGATGCCCAGTACGTTTTTACCAAAATCGATGAAATGTTAAACATATTGGATAATGAACAGAAAATATTATTCGAACAGTGGTGCAGCTATGTACCAGGACAAATAGAAAAGAGTATGTCGAAGTTTCAGTTAGTTAAATTAGAAAATAATCTACTGAAGGTGAACTTGGATGAGGAACTGCAAGCCATCTTGAGGGAAGTTAAATATATGAAAATGATGGAAGTTGAAAATATTCCGGTGGATGCGAAGCGGTTGTTTGATGAATCCGAAGGATTACTGACTTCGATAATGAAATTCAGTCGTATTGTTGAATGGTATAATTATATACATACAAATACAACTAATTTTGAATATAGCCTGATTAGTGAGGAGTTGAGCATTATTGACAAATTGATGGAAAAAGTAACTGGTTCTCTTACTTGGTACACAAATGGTAAGTTTCTTGGACAAATATATCAGTAGGTTGATATGTTTTTGAATAATGTTTTTGAATAATGTTTTATACATTATATAAAATTTCACACGATACAATAATATTCAAACACTTCACGAAGTGATACTCGTAAGGTTTTCAATGAATTGAACAATCAATGCCAATTATTATTGTTTCAATAATAACACTAATATCATCGAAAATTTATTGATGATAATATTTTAATAACAAAACTAATTTATTGAATCCTTTCTATCGATTATTTAAAATCACTCTAGGAGTTTCTAAAATCCAATTCTTGATACGTTTCTGACAATACAAATATTTAATTCGCATAGGCGAAGCAAAAAATACGAAAGCAGGTCATAAAATTTTCTCTGGTCTTTCACTCGATTTTTTTTGTTGAAAGTGTTTTTCCCTGTTTATCAAACATGGTTAATATATGACATTAATATTCATTGTTTCACTTTCTCCGAATGTGACTGACCTCTATTATATATTTTTAAAAAACGTTATTGTACAATTTTCATTTTTTTCAAATGGAATTTTCTGACTTCCATGAGTTAAATGGAATTGTATCGAAAAAAGGATAACCTTTCTACATGGGTAATGATCAAAAACTGTTTGGAAAATTCAAATGGAGGAAGAAACATTCTCAACTCCATTTCCTATCTACGTGTTTGTTGATTACAATTTCTACATATTTTATATTATTCACTTTCCCACAATTTTTCCATTATCACTTATTCCTGATGAGTTGAAGTTTGTATAACTCATTTTTCATTACCTCTATTCAGTTTGTATTCCTATTTCGCAGAGGAAAAGATACATACTCACATCTATGGCGTTAATCACTTGCATGTCCAGATCAAATGTAATCAGATATCATTCACAGGATTTCTGCAGAATATACTAAATGAAAGAGGTGAAATTTCACAATATGAAACACTGTCATCCTCACTGGTAGACATCCGATGTTTCGTCGTAAAACACTTGCCTCATCAGCTCTTCAGTAACAATCTGGATAACATTATGAGAAAAAAATACAATTTATTGATAAAATTACGACTTAATGTCATGGAATGAGTTTGATCTACTCATGTCATTGATAACATTGTAATGACATTCATTAAGTATATTGTGTAGGAATCCTGTGGATGATATCTGATTCCATTCCACGATGAATGTTTGGAATACAAATTGAATAGAGAAAAGTGTTTCAGTATTCATATAAAAGTATTTGTTTCGAAAGTATTTTTCTTTCGTGTAATTAATGTTTATATGAAAGGCTTTTTCTTTCAGTTTGCGTCTGAAAGTTACTGCTTTGCATGATCTACACATCTTTGTATAGAATCACTTTTTTGAAATCGATTGATTCCTTTCTTTGGAAGATTCCCACATGTTTTCGTATCAAGATTAAGAAGTAGAAAGCCAAAACCTTCATTTCCCAAAAAATCATATTAATTGTTGGAATCTTTTTTTTCATTATAAAATAAAATTTTATTTGTTGTTTCATTATATATTATATAATCATATATTTCGAATACATTGGCATTGAATTATTTGACACTCGAATATATCTTCATACATGATATTGGCTATTGAAAAATCATTGTTTTTCTATATGAATGCATTTTTCAGTTGAAAGTGAAAGTGAGTTATTTCAACAACAACCCATTCTTTTGGGTTATTCAGAGTTATTCATCCCATCAGCTTTACATAATTCATTCGCGAGATATGATAATAATCATAGTGATAAGGGAACCGAATGTGTACAAAATTCCGAAAATTATTTCATAAACATAATATACTTATTCAAGTCTGGGAGATTGGCAGCCCCAAATCGCGTTTTGGTATGCTCTTGGCTTTACAATAGTGGCTCAGTTCAAACTCTATTAAATTTTAATTTCTGATAATCTTTGGTATTTTTAGAACCAGCCATAGTAGAAGACCTTTACCAAGCCGTCAAACAAATTTGCGAGAGAGTGAAAAAGACACAGAGTAACATCAATAATCTACTGAATAATATCAAGGAATGGTCTGAGAAACCTTTATTCGAAAGGAAAGATGGGAAAAAGGAAAATCTACTCTGCATCGAAGATCGATATGAAAGGATTCAACGAAGGAAAGATCAAATTGTGGCGTCCTCGAAAGAACTTCAGAGAGTAGTGACCGAAAATTATTCTCTCTTCTTCCAAGAAGATATTTCTGCCCTCGAACCAGAAGTACCACAATCTATACCTGTACCAGAACCACCCGAAGAACCGCCTCCAGAACCCAAACGTAGTGGTAAGAAGGTTAAAAAAGGTAAAGTGAAAACACCCGTGAAGTCCGATTCGGAAACCGCTAGAGAAGAGGAAGCAGCTGCCCTTGTAGTTGAAAAAGCTAGAAAACGGGAACAAAAAATATCTCTTTGGGTACCGTACGTGAAAGATTTGGACATGCAAGTGAAAGAACTGGTGATTAACGCCATAGATGTGAGTATGTATCTCTTCCTCTGCGAAATGGGAGATATTAAACCAAACACCCCATTTTTTGAACTATTGATGGAACTCCACGAGCCCGATATTATGTTTGTTCCTTCCGCTGACTTGGAAGATCCTGTAAACTTTCTGACTGTAGTAGAAGGTTTACTAGAAGACATGTACGCGATGAGCGGATTCATAGAAAGGGTTGACCCAGAACAGCAGTCTGATAGTTTCTACGTCATCACCAAGGATGACTTAATGCTTCAAATAAAGAACGACGAAATATGCCAACGGATAGCGCATGCTATGGAGGGTGCCTTGGAATTCACAAAGGGGTTCGAACAATACATCTCGCTATGGACCGAAGATAGACAAGAATTTTTGAGGCAGTTCTTGATGTATGGTAGGGCGTTAACTTCAGATGAAATGGATATGTTGCGGGACGAGACGCAAACTGCTATTAAAGAACAACCACCAACTACTACTCAGTTTAAAGAACAAATTGATAACTACGAGGAATTATTAAAAAAAGTGGAACAGATCCCTTCTGAGAAACTTCTCATGGATGGTTGGGTGAGGATTGATGTGAAACCTCTTCGACAGGCTATATTGAATACGATTTGTAAATGGGAAAATCTTTTCAAACAACACTTGTACAATAAAGTTTTGGATAGCTTGAATGAATTGGAAAGCTTCATAAAGGAAGCCATAACTGCCATGCAAGTTCCTTTGACGGAAGATGATTACGATGGGCTTTTGAAAGTGATGGGATACTTATTCAAAGTTAAGGAGAGACAACTAGAGACAGATTCAATGTTTGAACCTTTGAAAGAAATAATAGATCTGTTGAAGGAGTACGGGGTGGAATTTTCAGAAGAGATTCACGTTCAATTGCAAGAGATTCCGGATAGATGGATACAGTGCAAAAAGGTATAAAAAAACTTCTATATTTTTAACATGCTCGATTCTGATTGAGGATTGACAAAGTTGAATCAACTACTGAGTCGCGAAAAATTGACCATTCAGATCTGCTTGTTGAAAATCATAACTATTAAAATATGTATAAGTAAATATCGTAGTTGGTGGAATACATTTTTATCGAAACAGTTCATTCCACATTTCTTTTCGCACCAGATTCTATCAAATCAATGAGTGTACAATAGTAGAATGGCGTAAAATACGTATTTTGTATTATGTGGATGTATTGATACAGTTATTCAGTGATTTTCTATTATAAAATTACTTGAAATAAAAAACAAATTGATACAATAGGAAGAAACCTTTCAAGAGACAGTGCCATTCATCAGGAAGTTTTTCTAATGTATTTTTTCTTGACAATATACACTGTATATACAATTTAGATTTCCACTTCAGAAACTCTGATGTTGCTCACCCCAAAAACCTTTTCACATTTGAAGGGTTAACAATCATCTGTATTCTTTTTCGGTAGTCAAATTCTCGATATTTAAAGTATCTGATCTCAAATTTATCTCGAATGCAATTAAATTAAATTAAATTCAATTTATTGTCCCATACAACATTAAATGCTCATAATTAGGCACTATAATTATGAACTGTAAGAGAAAGAAGTTTTTCATCGACTTTTTTAGGGTATTTTTACCATTTTTACCTTTCACAATCTGAAAAATATGAAAATTATAAAAGAGAACTTTATACAAGTGTAGAAAGAGCAAACTTTTCAGTTTCCCCGATAAGTTACTGCGTAAAATTAATGTATTTTTCACAATGAAAAATGTTTTGTTTATCAGTAACTTGTCGTATTTAACAATTTTGCCTATCAAAAAAATTGCGAAGCAATAATGAAATACTAATTTTAACGTTTCGGAGGCCAAAATCTGCCTCCGTCTTCAGAAATCGAAGGAAAATTCAAAGACATTCGCAGTTATTCCTTACTTGATTATTCATTTCCTAAATTCTTCGACAGATGCCAAAGAGTTCTGAAATGTGAAATTATGTCAATGTTGTTGATTGACAACTGAAACATTCGATGTAATACAAGGTGCTCTCCGATATCAGTCTGTTGCCATTTTGCCACTATATAAATTTTCCTTCAAGATGGGTAGCCAAGTACGGTCTATTTGTAAGGAGCTGTTCGAAATACAATTCTCTCCAGATATGAAAATATACGCTGATTCTTTTTACTTATGTCTCTTAGAGTGAGGCTCATTGATAATCAGTTTTGTCTAGTTCCATTCAACTCGATGTTCACCGTCTGATTTTAAAATGTGTTCTGACAATTTAGATCCCGTCAATTGTCTATTTTTTATGTAATCTCGATGTTCATTCTTACGCACTTTCAATGGTTTCGACGTTTCACCAATATAACTTTTACCACAAAAACAAGGTATCTCGTAAATGCAATTTTTTGTTGTTTTTTTTCAGTGTTGTTGGGTTTTGTATGTGTGAGTATAGATCTTAGTGTATTTTTTGTTTTGAAAGTAGTTGTAACATCATACCTATTTCCAATTCGTCTTATTTTTTAAGATAGTCCTCGAATGTAAGGTATGACGTTAGTTGTGAAAGGTGTCGGTGGATGTTGAGTCGGTAATTGCTGAGTTGGATGTTGTTGAATTTGTGAAGCTGTTTGTAGAGTCGTTTGGTTTTAACTCGATTTTTTATTTTCTATTGCATTTATCATTGAGTTTATAAGCGAATCTGGATAAGCGTTATCTTTCAGAACAGATTTAATTAATATGTCTTTATTGAAATTTTCAGTGTTAAGAATCACACGTTAAAAGGTAAGATCCCGTTAGTCCTTAGCTCGCACAAGTTTTGACTTCTGAGGGTTGTTGTTCGTAGGGGTGTGACAGCTGGTTACCGGAAAAACAGAGTTTTAACAAAACAGATTTTTTTTAAACAGAAGAGAATTACATATCGTTTTTGCTCTGTTGTAAAGACAATTCATTATACCTTTTTTAATACTCGCATGATGATTCAATGTGTAGTGAAAATATCTATTTGTATGCGTTTTCTTTCGATAAACATCTGTATCAAATTGATCTGATGATCCCTCCAACGTTACATCAAGGAAAGGGAGTCGACCATCTTGTTCAATCTTCATTGTTCATTCTTTACGTGGTTATCCGAACCACCCCGGGGCCTGGATACCGACGTGAAAAAGGGGGACCCTTTATTCATCACTTTTTTTCAAAGACACTCACACATTTCCGTAATAGACATAATGGACTAGCACAACACAAAAACGGACCCCCACGATAGCACATGACATACGTGTACATTCTTTGTGGGCGGACGTTATCCGCACGTCCGTTCACTAGCACGGCCACCAAGGAGCTCCCAAAATTGAAACATGATAATAACTGTGATAATCCACATTTGTTTTTAGCAGAGAATGATTTTTAGGAAAGAAAGATGTTGGCCTGGTACTTTTCCATCTAGTTGATTACTGATGATCAATCATCACTTAGTGGAATGAAATGAAATTCAAAACTGTTTAAGTAAATTCTAATAATCGAATAATTCCTTCGATAAATATAAACATATGAGAACTTAGGCTTCCACGGCCGGAGTCAGAATTGAAGAGAACAAACTCCTTAATAGTAGGCATCGTTCGTTGCTTAGACTTCGCCATATGACTTTCGTTCTCGCAGTAAACGCATATACTACTGATGATGTTTGTCGCAGTAGCGGTCGATACGTTTGGTATTTCAGGTACCATTCGACCACAGCGTTCTAGTACGGATTTTGTTTTCTTTAATAGATATAACTTCATTATTAGAAACATTTTACTATAGATCAACTTTTCCATGAGATAGCTCAAATAGATAATAATAATAATCATTACTGAATTTTGGGGTGTGCGTGTCGGTTCCGCGAATGGTGAAGTGTCAATTCATTTTATCATTCGAATTTTCATTCGAGAAATTATCGAATTTGGATGCACATATTATACCTTGAAAATTTGTTCTTTCATCTCCATTGAAATTAAAAATACAGTAACCTTAAGTTCCTCGAAAATAATTTCATTCCTAATTATCGCCAGAGAATATTTCATCAGTAGACTAAAAACGGAGATCGAGAAACAAAATTGTTGATTTTTAAACATATTTTGGGTTATATTTCTTATATCATGAGCAACCAATGTTTGTTTTGGAGAATTGAAATGAAGTTATAAATGAAGTTAATATCTGATCATATTGAGTTCTGATTGTTTTGTAAATCGTTTTCATATATTATGGGACTTTATTCTTCTCTAACAATGTTTCAGAAAGAAAATGATCTGATGTGACTATTTTTGAATATTATATTTTCAGGTTGCTGCATCAACAAAACAAACAGTAGCCCCCCTTCAGGCTCTACAGGTGAATGCTATAAAACGTCGTTTAAATCTTTTCGAAATTTGTCAAAACATGTACAGAGAGCAATTCAAAAAACTCTCGTTTTTCTGGTGGTCATGTCCGAATATTTATACTCTCCTGGATAAGACCAATAAAGAACTTCAAGAATTAGAAGCTGAACGCGACAAATTACAAGAACAAGCGAATCTCTTCGAACTCAATCTACCTGAATTCAAAGCCTTACGAGCCGCCAGAAAAGAAATGAAGCAAATCAAACAGCTTTGGGACTACGTCAACGTGGTTAGGTCCTGCATCGATGAATGGAAAGAAACGCCCTGGAAAAAAATCGATGTGGAAAACATGGAGATGGAGTGCAAAAAATTCGCGAAAGAAATTCGGCAAATGGATAAGGAGTTGAAAGGTTGGGATGTTTATATACAACTCGAAGCTTCCATCAAAAATATGTTGACCTCTCTGAGGGCTGTAACCGAGTTGCAAAATCCTGCGATAAGGGAACGTCACTGGATTCAACTGATGCAAGCAACAAAGGTACACAGTTTTTTAAATTTCAGTTCGATACTTTTCACTCTTCATAGATGGTAGATTCAAATCACAATTCATTTCCTCACCCAATCACAAACTGAAACATTCAGGCTATATGCACGTTTCGCTAACAAGCTAGGCGTGTAATGGTAGAGAAATGCAGCAAAGTAACAATGTCTGCTCTAGTTGATTTTTCTTGTAATGGTTAAAAAGTACGATTTATGATTACTGTGTGTATATATCATTGGGAAATCGAAAGCATAGAGTTCGATGTGTGACCTTGCAAAATCAATTTCCAGCGAATGCAACTATCAACTCAGACACTTTTGTCAAAATCAAATATTTTAGATTTTCAACATTTCAGTCAACTAATTGTCCTCTCAATTTAAAAAAAATACGTTTCAAGTTTGTGCAGATAATCAGTTGAAGAGTTGAGATTGGAACAATTTTTTCCGACGACCTACTTGAAATTCGTAATATTTCGCACTGTAAACTACTACACAAAATTAGATATTTCGCCGCACTGGTGGAAAATATTTTATTTCCCGAAATGAATATTGCCCACAGTCTCCTCGCTCTGTGATTGGTGCGATAACCTGATATAATTAACTATACTCTAATTCTCACTCATAGGTACCTGTGACGATAACATATTTACAAATTAATTCATAACATTATAGTGTCAATGTAGTCACTAAGTAGATAGGTACTGAGTCATATAATTTATTCAGTTTTCCTTGGTACAGTCATCCGCGACGATGAACTGGTATATTTTACTCCCCCAGAAGTATGCAATTTAGCAAACGGAACAACGAAGGAGTGGCCGCCAGAAAGTTCGAAACAGAGGTGTAATTTAGCTTACTATGATTTTATGGCATAGGAATAAATAAGTAACGCAAAAAGATTCTTCAAAGTTTTATTGGCTTACATAGGAGAATTAGGAAATAAGTGCAAGCTAAGTACTGTCTGGTCAAAATATTCTATGATATGAACATACTTGATGAATAAACATAACATGAACTTTGAAAATTACCTGAAATTGAAAGTGGTACTCAAAAGACGCTCAGACGGGTATAAACCAAAAAAAAAATCAAATATTTTAAATTCCCTGCAAATCTAACAATTTATGGAGGCTGCTTCAAATAAAAATATTTGTTGATTAAGGTATGTTTTGATTTGCATTTACAGTTGTTTTTTTCTAAAGAATATTGAAATCTTACTAATTCACTACTCAAATTTTGTATCAAGAAATCTTTGTTTTTGACAATCAATATTAATTTCATTGCTCAGCTCGCCAATGCATTGACAAACATTCTTCACAGATCATAAAACAAAGTTTATGGTGTTGTTTCGAATCTTGATGGAGTAACTTTTTTTCTTATTGAATGTTTCATAATTGAAGAGTGATAATCATATCACTTATAAACTCATTTTCTAGTAGAAATATTATAAAAATTGTCGAAATTATCATTTTTTGATACAGTGCTCACTACTAGAGAAATAACAAATGTGTATTTCATTCTAGGTTGCTTTAGCATTCGCTATAGGCGGAGCCTGGCGACGGGCTGAATTGGCCAATGAACGATCTGAATGATGCAAAAACTGCATTATTTGAAAGGGTTCCGAACACCAAAAATAAAGTACCACGAACTTTTATATTACCAGGAAATACCTATATGAAAACTATGCTGATCTACGTCCTAAAATCATGGTCGATAAAAATAACAGATTTTTCATTGATTACCAGAAAGGCAAATGTACCTTTCAGTTTGAAGGAACTGACGAGTTCGGTGCAATGGCCAAAGAAATCGCTACATTCTTGAAATTACCAAATCCAGAAAACAACATTGGCCATTTAGTCTGGTTTACAAGATTCCTCGTTCAGAACTTCTGTCCAAGGGCACCGAAAATTATGATTATGGGCTCATTCGATTCGGAATGACCTCTAGCAATTTTTGAAAAATTTCAAGAGGGGCTCGAAAAAATTGCAAAAGTTATAAACAATTTAGTAACAAAGAAGGGGTTTGATTAATTAGCTTATCTCGGAAATATTGAAGATATTGAAAATTTGAAAAAAGATCCTTGAAGAGGGGAAAATTTCCTAAAGGATAGACTCGCCTCCCGGAAGTCTATCACCAATATTTATAATTTTGATTTAGAGGCGAAAATAGCGCTTAAAGCGGGCGATTCGTGTCCCGCACGCGCTGACCGATTCAAACCTTTGAACAAGAACAATTATTTAAACGAAGTCTGTTCATCAATTCATTTACTACATAATGAAATAATCCTGGGGTGATTTCGTTGCAAGCACTTCTTTTTATATGCACTCAAAATGATATCTTCTCAAAAACATCTATAGGCGTCATATCAGGCGATCTTGTGGGTCCTTCTAAGGGACCACGTCTGCATGCCTCTCGGTTTGTTGGACCATCAACAAACCAAATTAGTTTTCAACAGATATAACGTTTCAGCAAGATGAGATACCTCTTCATTAGGCTGGTTCCCAAGTGCCCACATGACAATCATCCAAACATGGTTCATTAGAATGACTCATTAAATTACCTGATATGACGATCTTGAATGTTTGTGTGAGGATTCGTGAAATTCAAAATATACGTTACTCAACCGCAGTCCAGTCCAGAGTTGATGGTCAGAAGAAGAGGTGCTGTTAAGAGTGTGCACAAAAAGAACAAAAGTCTGTTTTAATTTATTATAAAGCCCATTCACATCTCAGATCGAAAGTTGATGTTCTAGTTTATGATTGCATTCTCGAATCTTGCATAAAAGGATTTCTTAATCAATCTTTGAAATATATGAATTACATTGAACTTTCTTCTGGTTCACTTCATTTTTCTACTTTCTCAGGTTGCGGAACGGTTACCCCCTTACTATACAGTGAGTAGTATACACACTGCCCGAGTAGCATGCGCCTAACATTTCAAAAATACCACACACATTTTCATGAGTAATACTCTCTAGGGATATAGTTTTATAAAAATAACACCTCCTGCCGAATTTGCTGCACGAGCTTTGAGTTCAACACTACAATAAAATGTATATAAAAATAGGAGTTTCTGTCCCTAACCTCACCTTTTCCTTCATCAGGTCCGTTTCGTGATGAGCGACGAAACAACACTAAGCGATCTTCTAGATCTCAATCTTCACGAATATGAAGACGAAGTGAAGAACATTGTCGATAAATCTGTCAAAGAAATGGCAATGGAGAAAGTTTTGAAGGAACTGAATGCTACATGGAATACAATGGAATTTGGTACGGACGTGCATGAAAGAACCAAACTTCGACTTTTGGTGGTCAGCGAAGAAATAATAGAAACACTAGAAGAGAATCAAGTAGCTCTCCAGAATATGATGACTTCAAAGTTTATAGACTTCTTCCTGGGGGAGGTTTCTGAATGGCAGAAAAAATTGTCCAATGCTGACCAAGTGATACAAGTATACTTCGAAGTCCAGAGGAAATGGATGTATCTCGAGAGCATCTTCATCGGATCCGAAGACATCAGGAGTCAACTTCCAGAGGATTCAAAAAGGTTTGATAGGATAGATAAAGACTTCAAGGAGGTCCTCAACGAAATGTTGAAAACACCCAACATCGTGAAAGCTACTAATAAACCAGGATTGTATGAAAAATTGGAAAGCATATTGAGCGACTTGACGCTTTGTGAGAAGGCTTTGAATGACTATTTGGAAACCAAGCGACTTGCCTTTCCTAGATTTTATTTCGTCTCATCTGCTGACCTTCTGGATATCTTGTCGAATGGAAATCAACCAGATTTGATACAGAGACATTTGACAAAACTCTTCGACTCTCTGGCTAAACTGATATTCATTCAAGAGGGTGGACGTAACACAAAGAAAGCTAAGGCGATGATTTCTAAGGAAAATGAAGAGGTGGTGAATTTTGTAAACATTTGCGACTGTGGTGGAAAAGTTGAAGCTTGGTTGAATAGAATTATTGATGCAATGAGGGCTACTCTTCATCAACTGTTTGGTGAAGCTGTCATCACTTACGACGAGAAACCAAGAGAGGCGTGGATTTATGATTATCCTGCTCAACCCGCTCTTTGTGGTGAGCAATAAGTATAAATACAATAGATTTTATATATTCTAGAAGTTTAAGGCCCACACATATCGATCGTTGCGAATGCAGAAACATTTTGTCATAGTTTTTCATATACAATATTATATTGAACCAAATCACTTGAAAACTATACTATACAAATGAGACATATAAGGAAATGTTAGGACAATAAAATATGATACAAATGATATTAATTACTACTTTCACAATGAAAAATTATATACAAGCTGAAAGACCGTACACTCAAAAACCAGTAGAAATTATTGACTACTTCACGAAAACATGCAATGTTTTTAGTGGAACAATAATGGAAACATATACATACCTACATACGAGAACATCATCTACATAATACACACAAAAATAATCAACGTTGCCAACAAATAACTTTAAGCAATAATCAGAGTTGTTGAGAATTCATGAAATTAAAAAGAAAAAACAAAACGCAGTTCTATGTATTACACATAGAAAAGGTGATGTTGAAAGATGTTGAAATGCCCTTTCGATTTTGTTTTCTGAATCGTTGCAACTATTGGAGTTTCTATGGAACTATCATCATTTTTTCCAAATGGTACTCTTCACTTTACTAAAGTGCCCCTCTTATTGGTAATATAGGAATACAATATTTTTCATAGTCAGAATGCTCTAAGCAGCTATTTTCAATCGAATGTTTCTGAATTATCATTGATTAGAATTCAATACAAAAATTCCACAAACTCAACAGATTATGTTCAAACTATACTTCACCTGATTTCATACAAAATGTATATCGTCTCATGAGTTTTCCAGTGTTGGTCGATATGATTATAGCTGGCATGATAATATGGCATGTACGACAGATTCGTTTCTAGAGATCCTTCAGATCTATTGAAATACACTTGGAATACTTTTTTTCCGAAAATATTCGGAAACAAGCTGGCCAATACTTTGGAAACCTATTTTCTATCCATCTCTGAGCATTTATATGAATTAGATGTTACAGATTATGAGGGTGATTAATTACCATTTTGTTGCTCTATAATCATTTTTCGTTCGGACAGAAGGATATGTTCTAATAGTTCGGGTGAAGTGTTCAGCAGCAGATTGTGATTCGGTTGAATTATCAATATAAATATATGGCTCATTGGGGTATCTGTCAATTACTCACCACAAGTTCACAGTAGATATTGTTTGGACACGAGTTCCCGATTACATAATGTCGATTGTGACTTTACACGTGATGAGCATTGTGTGTGTTGCCAATTTATTATTATGAAACCTGATTTCATAATTACAGCAGATTCGATATAGGATACTTGAATCGTCATGTACCATAACTTCAAGGCACAAATTAAGTTTGGCAGCTTCCGAAATCGATTTTTAAAAATAAAAAACTCAAACGAAAAACTCAAAGTTGAGTTACAATTATATTTTATTAGCAATGTAAAGGCCAAAGGTACAATTATAACTAACTAAAACAAAGAAAAACTCATATTTATAATATCGGGTGAGCTTGGGTAGAATTGCAGCGTCTATTGAATTCCTGGTACTCAGTGAGATACTTAGTGTAAATGCACTCCGGGAAATGGCCTTAGCTATATCTATAACATGGGTTGTCCATACATGACACCTTCCCACGTTGTTTAAAAATTAGGGTTGATTTATCAAACTTTATTTCTAATCCTAAGATCTTCAATAGGTATGCACCAATTTTCTGTATCGGGATCCTGTCTGGTTCTTCTATGCAGTCCAAGTTTCTTCATTAGTTGAACTGAGATTAAATATGTTGCGAGACAGATCATAGCGATGTACAGGAATATTGTCCACAAACTAATACCTGACGAAACGATGGGTTTTTCCTCTTGAAGTTTGTCCCGTACATGGTCCATTTGATTTTGGAGACTCTTCAAGTCGTCAAGATTCAGTGATTCGAGTAGGAATGGAGGTGTCCCCTCAATGTTTTTCAATAGGTTCTCTCGGGTTTGATATCCAGATGAGGTACTTTTAAGACTTTTGTTTCGATATAAGGGTTCTTGTGGGTTTGTAGAATGGTGGTGTCTAGTTTTAGTTCACAAGTTTCTGGAATTTCGATCACATAGGTCCCTTTGAGGGATGACGTTTCTTCTTTGTTGTTACAGTCTGACGAGGCCGTTGTTTCATTTGGAAATATTGCGATTCACTGGTTGGAATTTATCTTCTGAATTTTCTTGTCACGTAGTTTTATGGGTTCTGGATGCCAATTTTCATATGTTTGCGTGAATCGGATGAGATGCAGTTCACATGGAGATTGTGCGTCCCCTGGGCTTGCCTCTGGTAGGGTACACAAAGCCTCACCTGGAATGGCTTCTTGGCATGGTTCGTTAGAAAAAAAAATTGTTTTCTGGGACGATAATTTGGTATAGCTTTGGTTTGGTCTCGATAGGAAGAGAGTAGAGGTGATAATAGGTATAGTCGTTCGGTTCGATGACTGGAACTTTCAAAATGAATACTATTTTTGTTTCTTTCTGGTATGCTTCAATAGTTGTTATTTTTTCGAAAATAATTATGTTTTCTCTGTTTAGAATATACGGAAGAACAGCTTCATTCAAATGGTAGGAGATATTTTGCAATTGATCAGTCCTCGTTTCATCCGAGTCAATATTAGTGTGGGAAACAATTGCGTCAATTTAGTTTCGATTTCTTGTAGTTGCTGATCCATTATGTGAAGGTAGTTTTTCATATCCTTGCTAGAATTAGGACCATGTTTAGGAAAACCGGAGTTTATATGACTGATAATATCCTTTATCAATTGAAATTCTTAAATCAGGTCACGGAGGTCAAAGACTCTGATGAAGGTCCAATAATCTATGATATTTTGTGCTGTGCCAAGTTTTTGAGGCAGTATAGTCCCGGATTTTCGGTTATTTTTGTTGTGGTTATTGTTGAGGGTTCGACTGTCTCGAGGGTCCAGCAGATTGTTCTGGAACAATAGGGTGTCTTAAGTTATCAAAATGTACCCTGAGTTTTGGATTGTTACTATTTATTATAATGCAGGTGTTATCTGAATTGATTTGGTCGATAGTCAAAGTCATAAGTACCGAGTTTTTGATTTGTTTCTTTCGCTTTCTGGGAAAGCGTACATTTTTGATACCCAAAACCAGTTTGGAGATTGGATGGGGTTATCGCATTTGGGAGAAATTTTTCGAGGATAACCAAAATATCACTAAGCCAATCTTGGGAAGCCATATCGTTTGTCTTGCACGATGAGAGCATTCTCATTTCATTTTTGTCAGCATACTGAAACGCCAAAGATCTGACTTCTTTTGTAGTTTGCGGCTGGATCTTTCAAATATTACGCGAGATTTTTCTCCTTGTCAGAAAAAATTTGCCAGTTGATGCTCAATTAATTTGTATCTTTCAATGATATGTTTCACCAAACTATTTTTGTGACAACTTTGGAACCTTCAGATACTCTTAACATTTATGGTAGA